AAATGATCCTGGATTATCTAACTGGACTAGACCAGATCACATGGGCTCTTAAAAGCAGAGAACCTACCCCTGCTGTGGTCAGAGGAAAAAGTTAACTACAGAAGGGTGGTCTGAGAGCTGCAACATTGCTGGCTTTGAAGACAGAGGAAGGGGACCAGGAGCCAAGCAATATGGACCTCCTCTAGCAGCTAGAAAAGGTAGAGAAACAGATCCTCTCCTAGAGCCTTCAGAAAGAAACACAATCCTGCTGACATAACTTCTAACCTGCAGAACTATAAAGTGATACGTTTGTGTTGTTTTAAGCCACTAAATTTGTAGTAATTTTGTATGGCACCAATAGAAAATTAATACAAATACAGTAAATTCTCTCTACTTAAGGTCTGTATGTGGAGAAATAGAATAAGGATCACTTTCCAAAGTTGTATCAGAAGAGCTAGAAAGAATTTTCCCAGAAAACCCACAAAAGTCATCATTCCAAAGTAGATCACATGGCCTTTCCAAAAGCCAGCTTCTAGTAAAGGGAAGGGGATTACTCTTAGACCCATCACCTCTGAAGCTGTAGATGGGATTTTCCTCACATAAAGAATGCAGACTGGATTAAGGTTCTAATAGGAAAGAGGAAAGAGTGAATGGATGCTTATTAATATCCACAACCAAAAAGGACTGCTAATTCCATAAAAATTGATACATTGTTGTGAGATTACTATAATAAATAATACTTTGGAAAAATAAGACCATCTTTTGTTTGGCAAAAAGTGGAGCAGGTAGAAAACCTATCAAGATATTGCTTTAATGCTTGCCAGACACATGATAAATTCTCTCCATCTATTCAACAAATATTTACTGATACAGAAAATACTGTAATGAGATTAACTGTAATGCCAGTGATTTAAGAATGCTGCCTATTTTCTTTTCCATGTTTTTAAGTGTCTTTCCTCTAGGATTATTCAAACCCCCATCCAGTTCATTGCTGGATATCTTTGATGTTTCCACAGAACTTCATTTGTGAACATATGCCGCTTTTAGGCATTCTTCTAGTGACTTTACTTTTTTCCTCTCCTTTAGACTGCCCAGATTAAGAAGTGCTTCGGTAAAGTGGCAAATTTTTAGTAATTATTTAATCTGGTTGATAGGTATTTAGGGGTTCATTGTACTATTTTCTCTAATTTTGTGGGTTTGAAATTTTTCATATTAAAAAAAGAAGCGGCAGGCTGCCACAGCACGCCTAGGCCAGTCCTTATTGGGCCTCCTACTTCCCTTCTCAGTCCCCCCAGCTGCTCCCAGGATCTGAGATGATATGATTAACTGCTATCTCCCCACCTGGCCTCTAGGAGTTAACTAAGCATTGCAACACCTACTTCTTCCCCTGAAAAACCCACAAGCAGTTTGTAAAAGAATTCAAAGAAATCTTCAGAAAGAACCATTTCAGATTAGGGTACTTGCTCTGTACTAAAACCACAAAAATACTGAAAAAGTCTTAAAAAGCTTCAGTAACAACAGAAAACCCCAAAGTACAATAAGTGCATAGATTAAAAGAAATTAGAGGTGGTAAAAAAGAAAAAAACTTAAATAAAAAAAAAGAAAAAGAGAGGCCAAAAATGATACCAGCAATGCTAGACACTGGAGTAGAAGAGAGAGTTGAGGGACCAGAAGAATTACAAACGAAATCAAGAACTGTTCAAGTTCTATCCTAAAGAAAAGAAAGCCTTAATCTCAGGAAAGAACAAGATTTTTGTTTTTCTTTTTTAATATAGTATATTATCATGGAACACATAGAAAAGTATGAGAAGCTGAGAAACAAAATTGATTACAGCACATCAGTGAAGGAAAAGATAACTTAGAAGTTAAAATACAAAAAATAAGGAAAGGTTAACAAATAAATTATAATTCAAGAGGGTATTATCAGTATCAAAAGGGGTTCATATAAATCCCACTTTATGGATTAGACAACTGAAGCTCAGGAAAATGAAGTAACTTGGTCAAGGTCATTCAGTTGAAGTGTTGGGAGACTAGATTTGAACTCTCCAGATATCTCTACAACATTTGGTTTTTCTCTTTTTTTGGTAGAAATGGAAATCCAAAAGTAACTTATTAAATTATATGTACTTGTTAACTCAAAAATAATTCTGGCTTAAACTTAAAATATAGACTTAACAGTGATGCCCCTTTGAGTCTCATTTTTCCACAACACCAATGACACTCTGTGTGCTACACATATTACTGTTATATGGGAAAACACCACCTTAAAATCATATTGAAAATCATTTTTTCTGACTATTGCAAATAAAATTAGATTTTTCACTCTCTTCCCTTAAACTGTATGTGTAGAACAGAAAATAAGGCATTTTTTAAATGAAAAAATATTTTTAGTTATTTACGTACTGATTACTGAAATGGTTAAGCTTTGGTTTCTACTAAAGGAATCTCAGTTTGACTCATGTGTGTGAAGAGTGCCTCAAGTTAAGCTAATTAACTTTTTTTGGCACAGATAGCAAAATTAATGGCATTTAATACTTACCTGTTATTATGTGAAACCCTATACCCAAAGTCTTTTCTTTACACATGAGTAATTTTCTACCTTGCACCTACTATGAGCAAGTATATGTTCAATAAATAATTACTGATTTGAAGCATCACTCCTAAAAGAAATTAGGTTTAATAAATTATAATTACAACTATGTCATCTACATGACAGTTTTTCTTTTGTGACTGCATTAGGGGCTAGTGAAGAGAGGGAAACTATACCAATTATTTTAACAAAGATAATCTAATATAAAGAATTGTTGGAAACAACCTAAGTGTCCATCATCGGATGAATGGATAAAGAAGATGTGGCACATATATACAATGGAATATTACTCAGCCATAAAAAGAAACGAAATTGAGCTATTTGTAATGAGGTGGATTGACCTAGAGTCTGTCATACAGAGTGAAGTAAGTCAGAAAGAGAAAGACAAATACCGTATGCTAACACATATATATGGAATTTAAGAAAAAAAAATGTCATGAAGAACCTAGGGGTAAGACAGGAATAAAGACACAGACCTACTAGAGAATGGACTTGAGGATATGGGGAGGGGGAAGGGTAAGCTGTGACAAAGCGAGAGAGTGGAATGGACATACATACACTACCAAACGTAAAATAGATAGCTAGTGGGAAGCAGCCGCATAGCACAGGGAGATCAGCTCAGTGCTTTGTGACCACCTAGAGGGGTGGGATAGGGAGGGTGGAAGGGAGGGAGACGCAAAAGGGAAGAGATATGGGAACATATCTATATGTATAACTGATTCACTTTGTTATAAAGAAGAAACTAACACACCATTGTAACCAATTATACTCCAATAAAGATGTAAAAAAAAAAGAATTGTTAAGTAGGCATTGAAGAATAGAAAAGGCAAAAACATTAAGGCAGTGATATTCAAAAGATGGTAAAAAGACAGCATCATAAGCATCCCCTGGAAACTTGCTAGAAGTACAAATTCTCAGACTCCAAACCCCACTCATGGCTTACTAAATCAGAAACCCTGGCAGTGGGCCAGCAATCCATGCTTTAAAAGCCCTCCAAGGGATCGTAACTTATGCTAAATTTTAAAAACCACTGCACTAAAGTAGGCTAGAGGGCCACAGATAGTAACAGCAGGAAGCAGCGACCACTCCTGGGCCTGAGGGAGTAAAGAAGAGAGGTAGAATACTAAAACTGAGAAGACTGGGGACGGCCCCATCCCATGCAACTGAAACTCAGACCCCCAAGAACTGATCACTGCTCACCTGGTGCTGGTGTTTCTGAGCTCGAAGGAGAGACACCATAGGCCTTGGGAACCAGATATCTGAGGAAAAGGAACCCACAAGTTTGATCTGGTGTCTCAAGAAGGCACATTGAGATTGGTTCTGCAAGTGTTGGGAAGCCACTACATTGAGATCAGTGGCTGCTACCGGAAGGACCTACTACTGCCAGAGTGAACTATGACTAGAGATTGACAGGATCAAGAAACCCATGAGAGGCAAACAAGGAAAGAGCAAATCCCTTCCTCCTCCAGCTGTGCAATGTCTCTCTAGTTCCTCTATTGGCAGAGCCTAACAGGGAGACAGATTGTTTCCAGAATTCCAAAGGGTGGGGTTGAAGCTGAGAGATAGTAGCTTGATTAACTGGCATAAAGACCGTAATTGTAATAAGACTGAGAGGTAATAGAAATGGTACTTATTTTTTGGTATCTGTAATTGGGTACAGATGGACATTTTCTAGGCGACTGATATCTAGGTAGACTTTTGGGCTTATTTTACAAAATGATTCCTATTTGGAGTCTATACGTTTCTCCTGATGAGATTAATAAAACACATTTAGGACATCTATAGAATTTGGACAGGAAACTACGCAAGGACCTACACTGAAGTGTTCTTAGCTCCCCAGCTAAAACTGAAAGATCACAGCCGTAATAGCTGAGGATGGCTCAATAGTAGCAGCAAGCCCTGCTCCAATCAGCTGAGGCTGGGTTCCTTAAAGTCTTAGTGTCAAAGGAATGGACTAAAAAAGAGGCTTATTTACCAGGACAGAGCAATCAGAGCCTGCATCAAAACAGGAGATTCGTAGAAAAAGGTTGTTCTGAAATCACGGTCATTGATAAGAGAAATACAAACATGAATTTTCAATTAAGAAGTTGTCTGTGCAATTCCAGGCAACTAGAAAATGAATGGAAATGAATCAGCTACTTCCTTCATCTTGTAAATCAGTGTTCTAGCAGTTGAGTGTCCAGTCAATGCTGAGTCCACACAAATCAATAAATCAGTGCTTTTCATATTCTTGAAAGGTGGGCACAGACACAGTTGTTTTTGATGACAATCAAAAGGAACATTCCCAAGTGTTATTGAATGATTATCAGAAGTATGCCCAGTACATACTTTGGAAGATAAAGAACTGTGAGATAGTCATTATTCTTAAAGACCTTCACCTATTTCTCATTTTATGTTTATGTTTTGTTTTGCCTTGTTCTGTTTTTTTAAGGATATTGAAGAATCACAAAACCCCACTGGCGAGCCTGTTGGAGATGACTACAAAAAGATGGGAACACTTTTTGGTGAACTGAACAAAAGCCTCATCAACATGGGCTTCACAAGGATGTATTTTGGAGAACAAATTGTAGAACCAGTAATAGTCATTTTCTTTTGGCTTATGCTGTGGTTCCTTGGCCTACCAGCCCTTGGACTAGTTGCTATTCTTTGCCTTGTCATTATTTATGTGCAACAGTAAAATATGGCCTAATGGACTACTGACATTTAGCAGCCATATATGTAATTAGTGAAGTTATGTATTTCACCACATAAAGGCTGAAAATTTTGCCTTGTTTCAAATTGTGTACTGTTTTGTAATTAAATTTATAAGTTGATGTTGTTATAAAGTTAAACTCAACTCGATTAAAACGGGGTTGAATATATATTTTGTAGCTTATTCATAGCTCTTGTTTAACTACTGTGATCTGTGCCCACTTTTAAACACTCCTATTCCCATGCCAAATCTTGAATAACACCAAAAAGTGAGCAGGGAATGTTCCCCTGTTCACTCTTCTAAATGTTCTAAAACATTTTAGAAGAAAAAGGATGAAACAAGGAGCTAAAAATAAGTTGTAATTGGAGAACTGCTCCCCACCTACCCCCACCAAATAAACCCATATTATCTGGGAAATAATTTGAATTTCCATTGTCCCTGCTTAGCCCAAACCAATATAGATGATAACTTCTATATACTACCTTAATATTTTGATGAAAATCAGTAAAGCTAGCACATTTTCTAAAGATTGAAAAGAAATATATTTATTATTGCTGGGGAAACTTCCCAAGTTAAATGTAACTTTTTTATAATGCAATACTTGGGCTTAGAATCACTTCAGTATGTCATTTGAAGTTTTAGACAGTTTTGGTGCTAATTACTTTTTGTGAATTTTTAAAGTCTCATAAGCCAGGTTCATAGTTGGCTGTACCCCATGGTAATGAATATTTTCTTATATCTAACCAGTTGTGTATTTTTTTCCTAGAGAGACATTTTCAGTGTATTTTTTTCAGAAATTTATATTTTATAGTTCTTTTATAGCAATTATTCTAAGATTTAAAAAAATCTATTTCCTATCTTGACATGGATATTTTTCCCCCAAAATTGATTTGTATTATGGCTGAAATTCTTTACTATTTCTTTAAAAAAAAAATCATCTCATTTTCTTTGATATCTGTATTAGAAAGTACAGTATTACAGTATAAAACCAAATGCTTAAATTTGGAACTCAGCAGCCAATTGTATAATATTCCTCTAAGGCTAAAGCCAAGACAGTAATTGGCCAGGCATGTTATTAATGTGTCTTAATTCAGCACTTTGGGGTTTTATATTGAAATAAGCATTTCTTTCAATATACTTAGAAAATGAAAATGGCTTACTGATATTTTGGATTTTGTTAGAGAATCTAAAATCTTTACACTTTCATCTGAAAGACTTTCTATGTAGACAAAGGATAGGTAGTTAAGATAATTATCTAGGCATTTAAGTTAAATAGAGGAAAAATGGAACAATGGAGCATTTTTATCTTTGGCAGGGCAATAACTAAAGTGTGTAATGTGTTTACTATTCTACTTTATAAAGTTTTTATCCAATCCTAGTTTTAAAATTTATTCTATAAGTTCTCAGTGTCTTCCATTCCGAAGCAGAAAAATGATGAAAATGTTCAATTTAGATTTCTAAAATTAGATCATCCTGAACCAACCATACCAGTCAGAGGGCACTAAAAAGTATTGTGCATTTGTATAAACACAGAACTTTTAAAGTTTGACTTAAAAAAAAGACTTTGTACTATATTATTGTTTTTATTGGATTTGTAATATTTTTATAGAATATTTTATAGAACCTGGCATAAGTGCGAGTTATTTGAAAAGGTGTCTTTATTTGTGTCCAGTAGAATTGAGAGGTTTTTAATAGAAGTCATGAGATTTTGTATATCTGCATTCAATATTAAAAAGTGTATCCTTTTCTAATACTACTAAGAATTTTAATTTCCTTTTGGAATGTAAAAAGATATAGTATGCATAATAAAAGCTCTGGTTCCACCAGTGCCTAATATTGAAAATATTTTAAAAGTAAGTTTTAATTGTAATTATTTAGTATACGGTCAAATACTATGCATCTGCACACTGCTGTTAATAGAATATATATTAAATTCTATAAAGAAATGAGACATTTTGCTGCTATTCTTTTTGCATATATTATTAGAGCAGTATACCATCAAATTATTTGCTTTTATAGGGAAAAAACAAACTTTGCTCATTTGATGGAAATAAAATATTTTCTCTTATGAAATATAATAGAATGCAAATTATACTGATATCTTGAAATGAAAAGAAACTGGTCATTTCTTTGCTTCATGATATAAGGCAGGGGTCCCCAACCCATGGGCCACAGACCGGTACAGTTGGGGGCCTGTTAGGAACAGCAGGAGGCGAGCAGCGGGCGAGTGAGCGAAGCTTCGTCTGCCGCGACGCACTACTGCCTGAACCATCGCTCACATTACCTCCTGAACCATTGCCGCCCGCCTCACCCTGTCCGCGGAAGATAAGGCTTTCACAAAACCGGTCTCTGGCGCCAAAAAGGTTGGGGATCCCTGGTATAAGGAATTTGTTCAAAAATGGTTCTCAGGGACTTCCCTGGTGGTCCAGTGGTTAAGACTCCGTGCTTCCACTGCAGGGGGCCCAGGTTCAATCCCACATGACGCGCAGTGCGGCCAAAAAAATGTGAGGGGGAGGAGAAAAAATGATTCTCGATCATTTCAATCTCAGATACGAGCCAGTTTTAGAAACTAGTACTGCTATGAATAAAGAGATAGAAGTTACAAGGCTGCATTACTAGATTATTAGTGTATATATCACTCATACCACCAGCCCTCAATTCAAACGGAAACGGTCAAGACCTACAAGTAAACTGACTATAGTTGAATAAATCAATTTTCATTAAGGGAAAAACTCAGTTTTGTAGAATTCAGTTGTCTCATATGTTAAGCTGTCATATACAAGGCATTCTTCCGTTCCTAGGCACCAGTCAGATCATTCTTGGTCCAGTAGTGTGCTGGAGCCAGCTTTCACTGGCTTGCAAGAGCCAACTGCATACATTTTATCCCTACTCTGCCTTTAGTGACATCAAGTTGGTAGCTTGTCATTGAGTATGGGGGCAGTATTTACACTATAAATACTGGCAAACACAACAAATCAGGGCTCTTTTTTCCTGGCAAGCCAGTTGTTAAACATATACCAGCACATCACTGATTAGCCACATTTCCATTTCTACTCCTACAAATATAAGGGAAGCATATTAAGGGAAATCCCCATGGACCCATCCAAAACTGTATTTGAATCTTTTCCATGTGGGAACTATGGACCATGGTTGTCTTCTGACCAACATATATCTCTGTTTAATCACGTTTTGATCAGAGAAAATCTCTCCGGGCTATCACTAATCTGCAAATCTGTTAAAGACTATCCAGATGATCAGGAAATAAGAAACAGTTACAGAACGGATAGAGGGCAAATTACAGCATAAGTAAAGGTCTGTTATAAAGTATTAGCCTCAAAATAATCAAAGCTAGGTATGGAGCAATAAAGGACTGTTTGTTTGGTTTGTGATTATTTTGAGTTATTTTACAAAAGTTTATTGATTTCACTTTACTTTAAATGTTTTCATTGCAAGTTAATGGCTCTACAAGGTCAAAGAAGAGAAAAAAATCAAATAAGACTTTCATACCTATTAGGACTTCTAGTACTGGACTTGACCAAGGAGAATATAAACTAATGTACAAATTATGGCTTCAGGATTATTGCTGGACTTAAGTGTATTTTGTAAGTCCTATTTCTCTGCCCAACCCTTAATTTTTGGTGTTTTGACTGTTCTCTCATCACTCTACACCTTGCCCTTGGGCAATATCACCACTCCCATGGCTTCAGTTACCATTTCATACTAACAGCTCTCTGGTCTACATCTCCAGTTCAGAGAGTTCCATACAGAATATAAGATTCATACATTCAGTTGCTTGCCCAACATTTGTACTTGCTTATCCCTTAGTAGCCCAAATTTAATATGTCCAAAAAGGAACTCAACATCCTTCTCCCAAACTTTTTCTTCTTCCTATGTTCCCAGTCTCAGCAAATGACAAAATCCCCTCCTACACTGCCCACATTGTAACCAGTCACCAAGCCCTCCTCTTTTACTTCCTAAAAATATCTTTAACCTTTCCACTTCTCTCCATTCCCAGTATCACTTAGTCCATACCACCATCCATAGATTGCTATCTCAGAATCCTCATTGGTCTCCTGCCTTCGTTTTTCCACTTTATAATCAGAATAATCTTTCTAAAATGTGACTCTAATCTCCTTGGCCTAAATCTCTTCAATGGCTTCCTGTTACCATTATGATAAAATCCTTACTCCTTAATATGTTTTACAAGGTCCTTCATGAACTGGTTCTTACAGACCTCACCTCTCTATACTTCCACTTGCTCTTTCCAAGATTCACTATACTGATTTTGTTTTCAGTTGAGTGATGTGTTTCTCCCTTCCATGACTCTGTGCATACTTTACCTTCTTTCTTTAACTCCTCCCTACCAAACTGACCAACATATCCACGACTGTAAGGCCGCAATTTAGACATCGTGTCCCCGGGGAAAACTTCTCTGACACTTTTAAATCCAGTTTTGGTACTTCAGGTGCTTTCAGAGAACCCTGTATTTCCCCTATCAGCATTTATCATGCTATTAACATATTGTAAAAGCTTATGGTCAGCTTCTTCCATTAAACAATAGGCTTCACACCGCAGAAAACATGTCTCTCGTGTTCATAACTGCACTGCCTAACAATGCCTGGCATACAGTATGTGCTCAAAATCTTTGTCAAATGAATAAATCAGCTTCATTTATTCATGCTCTCCCCAGAGTGCATTAACAGAAGATCTAGAGTTGGTTGTACTTTAGAGTTTTTTGACTCCAAAAATGTACTTATTGTGCATAGAGTGATTGATGTACATGTTATCATTTATAAAGTTTATTCGCTTTTGATGGAAGAATATTGCTGTTACTTGCATACATATACAGTATTGCTACTATATGCTTGCCTTTTTTAGGAGAAAATGTATTTTCAGTGCTGTGCTTGGTGGAATCACTGTTTGTCCAAAATGCATAGGGTCACTCATGTTACCTAAATTTCATATTTTTCCAGCATTTTTCAATA